CATCCCGGTTCAGGTGTTGGTCCCGTTTTCTGTTTCAGGAGCCTTGTTGACACGGTCTATGCGTTAAAGGATGAAGTCCAGGAGTTGAGACAGGTGAGTCCTAGCCAGCTCTTTAATCTTGTAATGGGGTCAGAGGAAAGCACCGTGTGAAAAGCGAGGCCATCTGTCCCTATGCGCGTTAGCACCGAGGGACGGCCTTTCTCTGTGCTCCAGGGCCAGTTTGGTCCCCCGTGAATGGGAACAGACCAGGAGATGAATTCTTAAAGTGACCTGTTCAAACTTCGTACTGTACTGTGGGCATCATAAAGCATCTCAGGTCCTGTTGGAATCATCATTTAAAACATCCAAAAATCCTACTGGGATGTTCCACCGCTTGCTGGTGGAATGCACGGTTCTTGTTCTTATAAAGTCAAGTGAACTGGGCTAAGTGACCGAGTATATTTTGCGTATTTTGGGTAAAGTACGTTACACACCAGCTTGTGTCTCCGAGGAGTGCATGGTGAGCCCTGTATGCGAGGCGGGGGGTTGGGGTGCGGCGCGATCTGGGCCTGGACGCGCAGTTGGCCGACCTCGCTGCGTTCTCGCGGCTTCCACGTGCTTCTTTTCCGAGTTTGAAGGGACCCTCAGCAGTGGTAGGTATAGGTCTGTGCGCCTCGGGGGTGATCGGGTTGAAGTGCGGGAAGGCAGGCTCGTGTAGCCTTTCAGCCGCTGCCACCGTTTTTCTGTAAGAAGATTGTAAGATCTTCGCAAATGTGGAAAGGTGCACGCAGTTCCTTTTGTAACTTTCATCCATCCTTTTGTGAGTTATGCGGAGATTCTCTCGCTCAATAGGGCTGTTCTTCCATCTGTGATTGGTCCTGCTCGTAGGAGCATCTGGGTGAATATGGCGGATTCCAGCCTGGGATCACTCCTGGGAAACAAGTCCTCTTCTGTGCCCAAGACACTCAGCCTCCTGTTGTTTGCTTTGTTTACAGGATAACAAAAAGATGAAGAAATCTCTGGAGGAGGAGCAGAGAGCCCGCAAAGACCTGGAAAAGCTGGTGAGGAAAGTTCTCAAGAACATGAACGACCCTGCCTGGGACGAGACCAACCTCTGAGGAGTGTCGTTGCTTCTTCCTCCGAGACCAGCTGGGAGACCAAGCCGGGAGCCCCACGACCCTAGCCAGGGTGACCTTCAGGGCCGCGGGGCAGGGCTGGACAAAAGTCATCTTGCTTTCTGGGCATGGAAAAGCCGGAGTTTATCCCACAAATAGAAACGGTCACATTGTTCCTGAAGAATCCAAACATGAGGTGTAGACCCTGGGGGTGAACTGCATTAATTTTACTCTGTTAACATCTCAATTACCTCATTTTGCAATAAGTGCAGTGACTACAGATCCTGGTGTTTCAGGCTTTTATTGATCTATATAAATAATTATACATACACGTTTCTTGTAAATACTCCATTTTGAATGCATATCTGTGATTGTTGTACCTGGGCTGATCCCCCGTGCTAGAATTTCCTTGTCACTAACCTTTCGGGTCCCACAAACAGCAAGCTGTGCTCACGTGCTCGTGGGAAGCAGAGGCGCGAGGGGGCCTGGACGTGGTGCTAGACGCCTCGTTGGTTCGCCACTGGAGCCCCACGTGCTCCGGGAGGACCCCCGCCTTGGGTAGGCCCGCGTAGCCCTGTTTGTACCTGCAGCGGTCCCTCAGTAGCCTTGAAAGCCTTGTGTTGAAGCAGCGTCGCTGTCACCGGCGTGCGGTGGCCCCGAGTCGGCGTCCCGGCTCAGTGAGGGAGACTCGGGCCTCAGCCACCAACCCCGGGAGGTCCCCGCGCCCGCCATGTCCAGCTGCCGGCATCCGCGATTGCCTGCTGCGTGTGAACGGCGGCTGTCGGCGTGCCTTCTGTGCTCGGGGGAGAGCAGACTTGTCTAGACAGGCTGGTTTAAGAACGTGACAAAACGCACCGTTTGTCTCCACCCCCCCCACCCCCGAGAAAGCTCCACCAGAACCTGTAAATAAACCGCATTATTTATTCCGTATTACCGAGGCCGAGGAAGGCACCCCAAGGATACCGTGAGCGGACATGGCAAGTGCCAGGTGGGAGTCCTTGTCAGGCCTCTGTGAACTCCGACCTCTGTACCAGCAGCGTGCAACAAGCCTTCCGTGCTCACTGGGAAAGAGAAAGGTTTCCCTCCTTCAGTGAGAATAAAGCAATAGAAATTCTGCCTAAAGTACTCAGTTTAAATGCCGGTCCGTTCCCCCCGTACCTGAACGGCAGTGGGGACAGGGAGGAAGCCTGCCTGAGCCTGAGCCCCGCCCCGCTGACTTCTCTGGGCCGGGGAGGTGGGAACCTCAGAGCCCCCGGGCAGGGCCTCAGCCATGGAGCCAGCTCGTTCCGCCTCGCGGGCAGGACACCGCGTCCCGGGAGCTGCTCTCTCCGCTGCTCTCTTCCGAAGAGGTCGGCTTCCAGTGGAGAGAATCTGGTCCCTAGAACGAGTGTTCTGTCTTTAAAACAAATAGCACTACAGACTTCCCAGAAACAGCCGTGTGGCACCAGGTGGGACTTGGGCCTTGCGATCTGTGGGGTCAAGCAACCCTTCAACTGCCTGGGGATCTTCTGACGCCTTGGAACGGGGCGGCTCTGGGGCTCCTTGGCCTGCTTGCCGGTGGCTCCTGTCCAGGTCGGGGCTGAGCACTCGGCCCACCCGTCTGCGGCTGGCGGGCCGTTGCTGGAGCTGGGCCCTCCTGGCTGCGTGCCCTGCAGGTGTGTGCGCGGCTCCGCATCCGCCTGCCCTCGTGTGGCCTTTCTGGTAGAATTCCCAGCTTCCTGCACTTCGCATTTTGTTTACTAGTGCTAGGACTAGAAAAGAGCCTTTTTTGGGGGAAGCCTTACTTTACAGTGCTTTTTGGTGACGCAGAAGACCTTGCCATAGAAAACACTTTGGAGTGTACCGAAGTTTGCGGTCTTGCACTCAGGGACGGTCTTCACCCCGATCTCTCCACCTTTCTCTGACGGGGGATGTTGCCGGCTGCCTCCCAGGACGGGTCTCCTAAACCTGCCTTAACTTGACTGCAGCATTGAGTGGGAACGCACGTTTCTCCCCGTCCCCACTCTGATGGCACCGTTGGGACTGTTGGGACGCCTGGCAGATCCACTGTTTCACTAAGCTGCTTAGGGCGCAGAGTCTGAGAGCTGTTCTGTCTACAAACCTGCGGACCGCTTCCGTTTCCCTGAACTTCCCTGAACTTCCCTGGCTGGGGGCTGGCGGCGGTGGGTGGAAGGGGCCCCGTTTACCCCGAGGGCGAGGAGATAACGCACTTGCGTTTCTGCACGATGTTGAGATTTGGTGGCGGAGACTGTCCTTGGGGCTCCCGCTGTGTGTGTCGCATGCGTGCCAGGCCCTGGGACGGGGGGCGCCTCAGGGTTTCTGTCCCTTCCCGCTGCCCCCGCGCTGGTCCGTAGGCTGCACGCACGGCATCCCTGTTGACAGTCGTGGGGCCCGTCACATGAAAGCCACAGGCTGTCCTGGCCTTGACTGCTCCTGCTCCGTCATTGTCATTAAACGGACTTTCCTTACATTACAATGTTGCTGTATCTTCTGTGACCTGCTGGGGTTTGGTACATGTTACCTCTACGCTTTCTTCTTAAATCTTGAAAAGGTCCGGTGTAGATGTTTGATGTTGGGAAAATCACATTTGCCTTTAAAATCTAGGGCTTGGGAATAGCTGAAGAGACGTCGGATTAGAAAAAGGAGGGTTGTAGGGAAGGGGAGGGGGAAGGAGAGGGAAGGAGTAGCCGGGCTGTGGGCACAGCCCCTCGGCCGGCTGTAGAATAAGGACTTCCATCCTGGAGGACGCTCGGTAGCCCGTCTCGCGGGTGCGGTGAGGGAAGCGTCCTCCAGGGTTTCTGGGGGCCTCCTAGGACAGGTGTGACGACAGTGCTCATGTGCCCTTCGCTGCGGGCACCCCGTCCCGGCGGCCGCCCCGTCCCGCTGGGCGGCTGCAACCCGTGTGCTCCTGCCCGTGCAGAGCTCCGGCCCTTCAGCCGAGGAGCCGAGCGGTGCGCCTCGCAGACACTGGGGTCGAAGAAAACCTCGTCGGGTGACTTGGTAACCGCGCTCTTGTCCTCTTTCTCCGCGATTTTAGGGAGACCAGCGATGGCCCACGGATCCTGCGGAGAGACCAGTGTTGCTCGTACCCGGCTCACATTGGCCACAGCCCCGTACTGTCCCCGACCCTCCAGAGGGCGGGCCACCCCCGCAGCCACGCACCCGGGAGCCCGGCCATGCGCCCTGGACACGGGGTGGCAGGCTGTCCCTGGAAGGGGCGCAAGGACTGGGTGACACAGCCGCTGCCCAGAGTGCCCTTGGGCCCGGCTCTGCGTGCAGCCGTGCTGGCCGCCTGGCCGCCAGGAACCCCAGTGCAGCTGGTGACCGGAGCTGGGAGGGTTTCCGTGACTTGCGGCTGGAAGAAGTCCTTCGGGAAGTCCCTCGTGTTGATCTGCGCTGTGAATGGAATGGGCGCTCTGTCGGGCCTCTTCCAGTTGTCTGACTTACGGGGGCAGTTTCGGCATTTGTGTTTTTCATGCTAGTCTCCACGGTAATACGTGCTCGTAGGGAAGATGCACAGGGGTCAGGTGAGGAGCACGCACCCCCTCTCCCAGTAGCCTCTCCTGCTTCCACGAGAGTAACGACCGGGGTGATGGGGCTCGTGTTCCCCCTCAGTTCTTGCAAGCAGATGCAAACACGTGTCTGTGTGATTTTATTCCCCACAAACAAGCGCACATTGACCGTGTTCTTCCGTCACTGGCCCTTCTCTTAAATCCCTGTGGGAATAATGGGCCGCCGTACCACATCATAACAAGCCTGCGGTGGATCGAAGACCTGGATAGGAAGAACGGAACTTGAAAGGGTCAGAATACAGTCTTTTTTTTTTTTTTTTTTAAAGATTTTATTTATTTATTTGAGAGAGAGAGTGAGAGAGACAGCACATGAGAGGGGGGAGGGTCAGAGGGAGAAGCAGGCTCCCCGCAGAGCAGGGGGAGCCCGATGTGGGACTCAATCCCAGGACCCTGGGATCATGACCTGAGCCGAAGGCAGTCGCTTAACCAACTGAGCCACCCAGGTGCCCTGAAATCAACCAAGATCTTTAAAACAAACTAGCCTCAAGGGGGTGGGGGTGGCCTGGCTTTCTCCCTAGTCCTGGGCTGGTGAAGCGTTTGAGATAGCCGTGTTCGAAGTGGATGCTTTTGCAGTCAAAGCTTACATCAGGTACTAGTATTACAAAACAGAAAACAAGTGTCAGGGCTTTGCATTATGTATGCTTGCTGTTTGGCAGTGTGACCTCCTTTTCATTTAATGCGATGTCCTGGGTATCAGTCATTTCATGTTGGTTCCTAGAGACCGATTCTTGGTAAGTGGATGTGTGGTATTCATTGTAAAGATGGCCGTAACTTATTTTTTTTTTTTAAGATTTTATTTATTTATTTGAGAGAGAGAGAATGAGAGAGAGCAAGCACATGAGAGGGGGGAGGGTCAGAGGGAGAAGCAGACTCCCCGCCGAGCAGGGAGCCCGATGTGGGACTCGATCCCGGGACTCCAGGATCATGACCTGAGCCGAGGGCAGGCGCTTAACCGACTGAGCCACCCAGGCGCCCGGGTCAGAATACAGTCTTACCGTACTTCAGTACGTTCCCGTGCAGGGGCGTGTAGGCTGCCCCCTCGTCTGGCAGCCGCACGAATACCCCGCTGATGGAATGTGCCGGTTCATTCCAGTGACCTCTTAGGTATTGGGGAGGGGCGGTGAATGTCCTGTGTGCAAGCAGGTGAGTATTACAGTGATAGCATTAAGTTCCGGAAACATTGTGTCTTTTAATTTTGATAAAATTTGCCAGATGCCTAGAAGGCGTTTCAGAAACGACATCCTTGATCTTGCGCTTCTGAAGGGAGTTGAGGTCTGACTGCCGTCCACAGCCTTTCCTTCGCTGCTGGTGCGTTGGCCTCCGTGCCGTGGAGTCCCTGGGGAACACACTGCTCAGAAAGGAGGCTAAGGCAGCGTACGCCCACCAGCCCGATACTCCCTCCATAGAGCAAGTGAAACTGGTCTCAGCGACCCCCCAGGACCTCCTCTCTGGCCCTGCCTCTCCCCTGCAGGTCCTCCGGGCACAGGGTGCTCGGCCGGGCCGGGTTGGGCAGGCGGCCTTCCTCTCTGGTGGCTGGGTGCTACTGGCGGGTGCCCGGCCCGGCGCCGGCTAGACACAACAGCTGTGATGCGGACCCGCCGGTGCTCCGAGGGCCCAGCGTCCAGGGGTGAGGGGGGTCCCGCAGGCTGGCGGGCTCACACGCGGTTCCGTGGGTGACTGCGTCTCTTTCGTGTCCCGTAGCCACGGGAGGACTTGTAGCTGGCCTGGCTGTCCCCGCGGCTCCGTGCCGTTCGTCGTGAGACGCTGTTTGCCGTGCCCCTGAGGCCTTTTTGTACGGGGAACGTGGAGCCCCTGCAAGGAGAATACATGGTCGTGGTCCCCCAGGGCTGGTTCCCGTTCCCGGCCCCGTGGCCCCTGGCATCGCGGCGCCCGTCACCGTGCCGGGGAGCGGTCGGGAGGAGAGGCTAGGGGCCCCTCACTTCTGGTCCCTCAGTTACCAGGGAAGCCCTGGTTTCCTCTCGGAACACAGCAGATCACGTACTTCAGCTTTCACACGTGGTTTCACAAAGTTGCGATTCTGCGGCTTCCCCTTCGGCCACAACCCGTTTCTTTCCCTGAGCAGATAGACCTCTCGGGAGACTTGTCCATTTCCTCCCCGCTGGGCTTCCTCCCCCGCTCCCCCCGTCCTTGGGGACATCCCCGGCGCGCCCCGGGCCCACCCAGCCAGGCCTCCGCGGACGGGCTGTGAGCTTGCGGGTTCCCCGATCCCGGGCCCTACGCCCCCCAGGTCGGCGAAATCCCTTCACGGTGCTAGTGAACGGTTAGGAGTTGGAGTTCTCGGCGGTGGTCATGGCTCCTGGTGGTACTTTAACTCTTTCAGAAAACCCGTGACAACACCTGCTCCCCCCGGGAAGGCCTCACAGTTGACAGGAGCGAACGTCTGCCGACGAAAATGAAACGTGTTCTGAGCGGCCGCTAGTCCTCACGGGGGCTTGGGGCTCACAGACTAACTCCGGCCACGCCGGCTGCTCCGTTGGTGGCAGCAGCATGGTCCCAGCCACGGAGGGGAAGCAAGGCAAGTGTCCGGCCCCCAGAGGAGCCGGGCGCCGACACCCCTGCCCCGTGGACGAAGCCGGACACCGGAGACCGCACACCCGTGCCTCCAGCGATGCGTGCCGAGCGCTGCGGGCCTCGCTGACCGGAGGTGCGCCGTGCGTGACGGGGCAGGGGCGAGGCCCTGCTCGCGGGCGCGGGGTTTCTTCCTGGGCCGATGGAGACATCCTGCAACGGGTTGTGATGCTGCAGACTCTGCAAGTGCCCCGAACCCACTGACCGGTGCACTTGCCGTGGGTGAAGCGTTTGGCCCGTGAACTGCATGCAGTGGGCGCCAGGCTAGCGTGTGGGGCTGTCAGAAGCTCTCGGGGCGTGGGCGCTTCCACGGAGCTGTCGTCACCCTCGTGCTACAGACAAGGAAACCGTGGCGCCGAGGCCGGGAGCTACGGCTGGTGACGAGGGGGACCGAAGCCCGCTTCCTTGTGGCGTGAGCCGTGGGAGGGACGGGCACTGCCGGACCTGCGGGCTCACCACCGCACCCCAAGCTTTCCAGGCTGCTCTCGCTGGGGGCCCGTCTCCCGCCCACCCCACGTGGGCCGCCCTGGCTGCCCTTGCGGCCCTCTCCCCTCTCGCCTGCACCCTCTGCTCCTCTCTGGCCTGGTTGTCACGGTTCGCCTTCCCCCACGTCTCCCTGGGGCCCCGCTCTTGGGGTCGCAATGACAGGTCCCAGCACAAGGCTACCCTGACTCCCGCTCCACTGGCTCAGCCTCTGGCAGCAATGCGGCTCCTGAACCCCACGGGCTGGCCGTTCATGGCCTCCACAGCCCTCCTGCCATGTCCTGTGGCCTCCTTCCCACCTGCAGCCTGCCAGCACTCAGCCCTCCCCTATAGGTCCCTTGCCCCCAGCGGCCCAGGCGAGGGAGAGGGACAGTCACCTGGCACCTGGGCCTCCTCGCTGCTCCCATACCCTTCTCTGGGCTGGGTACGGGCCTCCTTCCTCTCCCACTCTTCCGGAGCTCCCACCCCCCAGGCCTGCCTCATGCAGGTTCTGTGGCCCCAGCAGGCTACTTCCCCAAGGCACACAGATGGCTTTCCAACCCACCGGCTGCTTGTCACGCCCTTGGGACCTCAGCCCTGGCTAGGCCAGTCCCCTCAATCCTCAGGTCTCCCAAGTGTGCAGCCTCTTGGTTTCCCCGATTGGCCAAGCCTGGCTGACCCCAGGGCCTTTGCACTCGCTGCTGCTTCAGGCTTGCATGCCTTCCCTCACTTCCTTCCCACACTGCTCAGATGCTGCCTAAGCCTGAGGCCGCCGACTTACCCCACGTAAGCAGAGAATCAGTCCTGACTCCGTGCTCTGCTTCTCCCCTGCAGCACGTGCCTGACCTGACATGGTCTGTCTCCTTCTGTGGGGCTACACGTCCCTGAGGGTGGGGGGTTTGTCTGTTTTGCTCACTGTTGCATCCCAGCAAACGTGGACACCCCAAGAAGGACGACCCAGGAGTGAGGGCAGGACGCGAAGCCAGGCCTGGACGTCCTGCAGAAAAGGGTCTTGGGCGGGGGGTTCACGGCCCCCCTTCCACTCGCCCTCGGCCCTGTGAGCATCCCGTCCATGCTCCAGCTGCCGGCGTCACCACCCTGCCCCCCGTGTGATGTCATGGGGCTTGTGTGACGTCACAGTGGACAAGGCGGGCCTGCTATCGGCTCCAGACTCCACTGGTGGGAGCAGTGGAGGGAGGAGGTGCTGGTTTCTTGTTTGATCCAAAGTTGTCCGCTTGGAGTGTGAGAGGGCTGCGCGGCTGAGGGGGCTTGGTTGGGGACATGGTCGCCAGGTGAGATCCAGGCCCGCGCTGCCTGGCCCCCTGTTCCTGCCCCCCCTGCCCATGAGGTCCCACCTGTGCTAACCCGTTCTATCCCCCAGGTTCCCTTGACCCCCTTGTCTGCCCTTCGACTGCTACAATGAGATACGCACCAGAGTTCAAAAAGTCCCCCTCGCACCTCCTGAAGAAATTTGCAGGTAACGGGGAAGGCCCGCCGCGGCCTGTTTCACTCCACGGTGGTGGCCGTTACTCACCAGGCTGAGCCAGGGGCGGGGGGCAATGGGATGCAGGAAAATGCTGTGCAGCCTTCGTTTTCTTGCAAGTGTCCGTAGAGACGTCTGAGCCGGAGGTGTTCAGTGTCACAAACACGTTCAGCTGGCTCACGGGGCCCCAGGGTCAAAGACGTTTCCGTGTGACGAGCCACATGGACGCTTCCATCTCAAAACGTCTGTTGCAAGAGCGACTTTCTCTTGAAGAGAACACGTTTCTCAGCAGGAAAGCCTACCTCCCCCATCCTGGGTGCCCGGGGTCTGCGGTCAGACACTCGTACTGGGCCCCGGGGGAAACCAGGGCAGTGGGGCCCGCGAGGCTGCCGGTCTGAGTGTGCATGCATCCACGTGGGGCCACGGAGAGCCACACAGGGTGCCCTGCGCGGGCGAGGAGGGAGGGGCCGTGCCCCCCGGGCACGCTGCCGTGTGACTCAACTTTTCTTCTCGGGGGAGCTTGTCTGCTTGCACTGTGTGATAAAAGATAAGAAAATGGAAGGAAAAGAAATTTGGTTTCTTCCTTTTTTTCTTTCTTTGGCTTGGAGCCTGGACTGGCGGGGGAGGGTTCTGGGCTGGCCAGGCTTCGGTGAGACAGTTTCCCTGTCGCTCGGCACGAATCCACCGAGGACTGGGCTGGGGCTCACTCGCTGGGACGCCCTTCCTGGGGCCAGTCTCTGGGGCTCCATCACACAGGGCAGCCGGGACATGGAGGTCAGTGGGTCTGGCTCTGAGCCGGGCCGCGGGGGGCCCGCTGGAGGGGCTGTGGTTTCTGATCCACAAGACCCAGGGCAGAGAAGCGGGCTGGCCTGAAGTTGCCCCTCGAGTCTCCTGGCGGAAGCACCCACATGGGGGACAGTGTGTTCTTAGGGCCCGGGAGTGGACAGCCTCTCTCGCCTCTCTACTTCAGGGCTCTGGGACTGGTGGCCCCGGGGCAGTGGCGATGGAGAGCGGTGCCCACCCCCTCTCCAGGTGTGGGTTAGGGCAGGTTGGTCACTCAGGTGTACCGAGGAAAGCCGGGGTCCCACCTGTGCTAACCTGCTTGGGGCGGGAGGTCGTCTTCCCTGTCCTCACTGGACGACTTCCAAGGGCGCCGTCAAGCCCCGGGGGCAGGTGCCGACTCTGTGCGGGGACCCCCCCGCCCTCCCCCGCAGAAGCGCTGCCTGCCCGGTGTTCTGTCCTCAGGGGTGCGGCTTTAGCTCCCCCACGTCTGGGCTGTCCTCCTGCCGCCGCTGGCAGGGATGGCGTGGCTCAGGTGTGCACCTGAAGGCTTGCACAGCCTCGGGGCACCAGCCTGGGACCGAACATACGGGTGAAGGAACGAGGGAGGCTGTCGAGATGACAGGCAGCCTCCGAAAGAGGGCCTGGCCGGGGCGGGGGGCGGGATTGGCCATCTTCATCTCTGCCCACCATACCCCAGCTCGCCATGCCTGGCAGGTGCTCGCCAGGTGGGTGTGGGGAGACGGAGGGGTGCACCCAGCCTCTAGGGGCTCAGGTCCACCTAGGCAAGCAGGGTGCCGGCCTGGGGCTCAGTCGCACGCCGTTCAGACGGCGTCCTGTTGAGGGCAGAGGGCGAGCCGGCGGGTCCCCCACCCCACACCAGGGTGAGTTACACCTTACGGCGTGGTTCTGCGCGCCGGGCCCTCTGCCCGCCCCGAGGGTGGAAGACCCGCGCTGGGCTGGTGGCGGAGCGACGGCCAGGGTGTGCTTGCCAAGCTCGGGACTCCGGCCGTCCTTCATCAGCTGAGCTAACCCCGGGCCAGCCCCGGCCCTAGGCGGTGAGCTCTCTCCACGGCTCTACGGCACTTAGTCCTTCCAGAGCCCCACCGCCGAGACCGCCCCGCCCCGTCCCGTCCGGTCCCCGTCCCGTCCCCACTGTAGAGAAGACGGGGCTCTGCCAGGTCACGCGCCGGCAGCGGGGGAGGGGACTTGAGCGCAGGGACCTGGCGTGTGGCCTGTGCTCTTGGCCCTTGTGGCTGGATTACGTGGCCTCTCAAACCAGCGTCCTTTCCCTCGCGAGGGGCCGTGACGTTGAGAGTAGTTCCGCGACCGTGCCTTGTAAACTGTGAAGTGCCTTACAAGTGCCGTGTGTGTGGAGTGGCCGCAAGGAAAACGTGGGGCTCAACAGTGGGCCGGTCTGCGGTCCTCCCCTCCCACAAGCACTGTCCCCTCGTCTGAACCCTCCTGTCTCCACCCTGCGGACGGCCGGCTGGGCGCTTTCCAGACCCCAGCTCTGAAGGGGTCACGCCAGGGATGGAGAAGTAGACGAGATTCTTCTGGGGGCAACTTCCCAGAAACACACCCAGACCGCGGGGGAGGTCCAGGTAGATAAAACAGCCCTGGGAGGGTGGGGTGGGCACGGAGATCTCAGATGTGCTGGGAGACTGACCTTCTGCACAGGTGCTCTGGGGACCAGCTGCCCTTCCAGACTGTTCCATGAAAGCAGCCGGACTGGGAAATCACAGACCCACGTGTTCTCATGCGGGGAGTGATGTTGAAGAGAAGAGTCATTATGAACAAAATTATGCCTCCACAGCTTGTTTCCTGCCTGTGCTCTTTGCTGAAATAATCCTCTGCTGTCATGGAGCACCTTGGAGAAGCCTAGGTCCTCTGGCTCTGTGAAGACAGTGGGGTGATGGGGACCCCAGCTCTCCTGGTCAGCTGTGTGCTCTTGGGTTTCCTGGAACTTTGTGGACAACGTGGAGGGGGCTGAGCACACCTGTGTTTGCCACCACGCGGGCTGTCATCCTGTGGGGCCCCTGCTCTGAATTGTGTGGGAGTCGCCCACGAGTGCGGTGGTGGCCGTGCTCCCCAGGCCGCCACCGTGAGGGCCTGGGCGGGCTCCCTGCAGCCCAGACCCCATCGGAGGCGAAGCTGGGCACGGCTGGCATGCCTTTAAATGGATGACACGCCCTGCAGGGCGACTGAGCACTCGGTGACCAGCTAGTCTAGTGGTGCTAGACCACCGACTGAGCACTCGGTGAGCACCCTGGCCAGCTAGCCGGGCTCCGGGAGAGGGCAGTGGTGCAGGAGGGTGACGCGGGCTTCTCTGTCCCCTGAGCCCGCCCAGCCTGGCTGCTGTGCGCGCGGTGGCATTCCGGCCGCACGCCTCGGGAAGGAGCGGGAGGGACAGTGGGTTTCTCTGGAGCCCCCGCCCTCGGGCCGGGAGACCCCAGCAGGGTTTGGGCAGACACTGCTGCCTGCTCCTGAGGGGACTCACGGGTCCTCGAGGCTGGAAGCGCGTCAGCATTCGGCGCTGGGATGCGTCCCCCGCCGTCTGCGCCGCTGGGCCCACAGCCCGGATACCAGCTTGCTTGCTTCTGGTCAAAACTGACACTTTACGTTCTGTCCTTTTAAATTATGGAATAATCTTCAGCCTGAGTTGATAACTTTAACTCACCGTGTGCTCCCCGGTGAATTAGTCACACCTTGTGCCTGCGCCCCGATGTCTGTTGTATCCGATCTTCGTCTTCCGTTTGCTTTGCGGACGCCGGTCCCAGTGCCGCTGAGATGCACCATGTCCTCCGTCGTTAGAGGACCCGCATCAGTGCCGGCAGTTAACTCGACATTGTTTTGTTCAGAAATCGGATTCATCCTAGGCCTTGGGGGAGGGATTTGTATGGTGCATAATTAAACACGTCACCCCCCCGCGCCAGCCTCGAAGCGCCCCTGGCCACGGGCTGGGGCTCCTGGCAGCGCTGTGTGTCTGCTTTGCAGTGTGTGACATTCCTCTGTACGACGTCTGTGACTACAACGTCACCAGGGACCGCTGCAAGGAGCTCGGCTGCTGCTTTTATAAGGACGTGTGCTACGAGAAAGCCGTCCCCGGTGAGCATCCGCGCCCCCCGCCCCAGGCCGAGCAGCCACCGGGGCCCACGGCTTCGTTCCCCCGCGGCCCCCGCTGCGCCCCGGTTCCATCACTCTGGCGAGTTAGCGGGGCGAAGGAAGTTCACTCCCAGATGGAGCTGAGCTGATACAAGAAGGGTCCGGGAAGACCCTGGGCGTGCGGGGAGGGGGCAGAAGCCGCTGGTTCGGGGCGGGGCTGGCCGCCGGCTGTGCCCGAGGTCAGACCCCACGGGGCTTCTCCAGAGCCCTGTCACGGTCAGCACAAAACCAGACCCCACTGAGTGCGCCCTGACCCCGGGAGTCGGGATGCGCCTGGGACGGCGGGGCCAGCAGGGCGTCCCGAGACGGGGAGGCTGTGGGAGCGGGGGGAGGCCACCACCCCCACAGGAGGGCCTGCTTCCGCCGGGGCTGAGGGATTCACAGTTGAGTGGGGGAGTTAGGTGCGGGGCAGGGTACAAGCCGGGATGCCCTGGGGGAAGGGGTCTTCTAGTTACACCGTCTGGGGCTTTGCTCACACTTCAGAGCTTTGGGCCTCTCGGCCTCTAGAATTTCCTAAATTAGTATTTCCAAACCCTCACAAAATTCACTTGATGATTGATGTGTTTTCTTGCCCTGTTTGCGGCCCTTTTAGAAATGAGGGTGCTTGGCTCTAGGAGAGTTTGGAGAGGAATGGGGTGTGTGGGGGGGGGCGGCCTACACAAGGTCTTGCCAGAGAGGAGGAAGGTGCCCCACAGACAGAAGCTGGCACGGGCCACGGACACTCAGCAGCTCCCATGCTGTGGGAGGACGTGTCCTGGGCCCTCCCTGTCCCAGGCCACTCTCCCCTGTCCTCACCTCCCCAGTGGATAAAGGCACGCTTGTGCCGGGAGACTGGAAAGGTTTCTTGTTCTCTCCTCCGAGCCCCAGGCAGGCTGAGCCCTTGGAGGTGAGACGCAGAGTGAGCTCTCTCATTCCTGGACATGGGAAGGCCTAGGGAGTCAGAAACATTCATGACTCATAACTGTTCCCAAGGAGTGACCCATGGGGCTGCCTGATCCCACAGACCCCAAACCCTAAGCCAGCTCCTTGTTCAAGAAGGAAGTGACGTTCTGCGCAAAAAGATCGAAGAACCCAAAGCATCCGCAGGGTCCTGGCTCACCAAGGGGGTGCATCTGTCTGGCTTTATGGTGAAGATTTGGCACTTAGGGCAAAAGAGGAGGAAGTTTGGCTTCTCAGAAGGAGGTGAAAGCAGAGGCCACAAGAAATGCCATTAATAGCTGAGAAGATTTTCTGATGACAATTTCTCATCCAGATCTTGAGTTGGAAGGCTTGGGACCAGACTCTCCTTACTTCTCTCTGCATCTGGGAGACCAGAGCAACCCTAGGATCCCACACCTTTCCCTGTACCTGTAGATAGAAACAGCTGGAAGTTACCTCTTTTTTGGTTATTTTTATTGAGATAAAATTCTCATACCGTACAACTTACCCCTTTAAATAAAGTGTACAATTCAGTGGTTTTTAGTGTCTTCACAAAATTGGGCAACCATCACCACTATCACTTCCAGAACATTTGTATTAGCCCCAAAGAAGCCCTGTACTCATCAACTGGACGATCCCCATCCCCTCCCACCTCCAGCCCCTGGTGACCACTGACCTGGACATTTCACATTCATGGAATCATACAGTATGTAGCCTTGTGTGTCTGGCTCCTTTCACATGTTTTCAGAACTCATGCCCGTGGGAGCAGGTCAGCACTGCATTCCTGTTTATGGCTGAGTAATACTCCATTGTAGGGATAGACCACACTTGGTTTATCCCTCTGTTAGCTGATGGAAATTTGGGTTGTCCCCACTTGTTAGCTACTAGGAACATGTGTGTATAAGTTTTTGCATGAACATATGTTTTCACTTCTCTTGGGTATTTACCCAGAAGTGGAATTTCTGGATCATTTATTAAATATACTTAAAATGTTTAAAGAACTGCCAAACTATTTTCGACAGTAGCTGCACTGTTTGACAGTCTCAACATTACCTAAATTCCAATTTCTCCGGATCCTCACCAACACTAGTTGTCTGTCTTTTTGATGTTCGCCGCCATGATGGATATGAAGTTGTGTCTCACTGTGGTTTGGATGGTATTTCTCTGATGAGTAATGATGTTGAGTACCTTTGCATGTGCATTTGGCCATTTGTATGTCATCTCTGAAGAAGTCTATTCACATTTCTGGCACAGTTTTTAACTCGATTAATTGTCTTTTTATTGTGGTGTTGTAAGAGCTCTGTATCTATTCTGGATAGTAGACCCTTATCAGATATGTGATTTGCAACTACTTTTCCCAATCTGTTGGTCATCTTTTCACTTTCTTGATAGTGTCTCTTTGAAGCACAACATTTTTTAGTTTTTTTTTTTTTCTAAGATTTTATTTATTTATTTGAGAGAGAGAATGAGATAGAGCATGAGAAGGGGGAGGGTCAGAGGGAGAAGCAGGCTCCCCGCCGAGCAGGGAGCCCGATGCGGGACTCGATCCCGGGACTCCAGGATCATGACCTGAGCCGAAGGCAGTCGCTTAACCAACTGAGCCACCCAGGCGCCCTCTTTTCTTTATTTTTTTAAGATTTTATTTATTTATTTGAGAGACAGAGAGAGAGAGAATGAGCAGGGGGAGGGTCAGAGGGAGAAGCAGACCCCCCACTGAGCAGGGAGCCCGATGCGGGACTCGATCCCGGGACTCCAGGATCATGACCTGAGCCGAAGGCAGTCGCTTAACCAACTGAGCCACCCAGGCGCCCTCTTTTCTTTATTTTTTTAAGATTTTATTTATTTGAGAGACAGAGAGAGAGAGAATGAGCAGGGGGAGGGTCAGAGGGAGAAGCAGACCCCCCACTGAGCAGGGAGCCCGATGCGGGACTCGATCCCGGGACTCCAGGATCATGACCTGAGCCGAAGGCAGTCACCCAACCAACTGAGCCACCCAGGTGCCCACATTTTTTAGTTTTGATGATGCCTCGTTTATCTATTTGTTCTGTGGTTGCTTGGGCTTTTGGTGTCGTAGCTAAGAAACCATTGTCTAATCCGAGGTCACAAAGATTTACATCTCTGTTATTTTCTAAGAGTTTTATGGTTTTAGCTTATACATTTATGGCTTTGGTCCATTTTGACTCAATTTTTTTCTTCCTCGGTGTGAGGCAGGGATCCAGTTTCATTCTTTTGCATCTAGATATCCAGGTATTCTAGCAGCATTTGTTGAAAAGACTATGCTTTCTCCATTGAATTGCTTTGGCATCCTTGTCTAAAATCAATTGCCCATAAATGTGAGGGTTTATTTCTGGGCTCTCAGTTTTATTCCACTAAGCCAGTACCACACTACTTTGATTACTATAGCTTTAAGATAAATGTTGAAATTGAAAAGCATGACTTCTCCAATTTTGTTCTTTTTCAACATTGTTTTGGTTACTATGGGTTCTTTGCATTTCCATATTAATTTAGGACCAGCTTGTCAATTTCTGGGGAAAAAAATGCCCTCTGAGATGTTGATAGGGATTGTGTTGAATCTATAGATAACTTGGGGGTGGGATATTGCCATTTTAATAATGTTAAGTATTCCGACCCATGAACAAGGGATGTCTTTCCATTTATTTAGGTCATCTTTAATTTCTCTCTGCAATATTTTGTAGTTTTCCATGTACCAATCTTGCCTTTCTTTTGTTAAATTTATTCCTAAGTATTTTATTCTCTGATGTTACTGTAAATGGATATATGTCCTTAATTTGATTTTCAGATTGTATATAGAATCCTAGTATAGACACAAGAGAATTGAAAGGTTGCTGGAATATAGAAATGCAACTGATTTTTGTATTGTGATCTTGTATCCTGCCACCTTCTTGGACTTGTGTATTAGTCCTACTCATTTATAGTTGATTACTTAGGATTTTCTAGATACAAGAGTGTATCATCAGCAAATAGAGATTTTTTTTTACTTCTTTTTTCCAATATAGTTGGTTTGATTTCATTTTCTTGCTTAATTGCCCTGGCTGGAAACTCTAGTACATGAGGAATAGAACCAGTGAGAATGGACATCCTCATCTGGTTCCTGATCTTAGGGGGATATTTTCAGTGTTTCATCCATAAGTATGATGGTAGCTATGGATTTTACCAAAGGTCAGGTTGAGTAAGTTCCCTTCTCGTCCTAGTTTCCTGAGTGTTTTTATTATGAAGGGATGTTGGATTTTATCAAATTCTTTTTGGGCATCTTTTGGATACCTTAGTGATGCTCTTTATTACTCATATGGATTTGAGTTACTGTCTAGTATCCTACCCTTTCATCCTGAAGGACTCCCTTTTAGTATTTCTTGTAAGGCAGGTCTGCTAGTGATGAATTCTCTCAGTTTCTGTTTGGGAATGTCTTAATTTGTCCATTTTTGGAGGATAGAGTCGCAGTGTATAAAATTCCTGATTAGCAGTCTTTTTCTGTCAACACTTTGAATATTTCATCATCTTGCCTTCTGGCCTCCAAGGTTTCTGATGGGGAATCTGCTGTTAATCTTTACGTTTCTTTATATATATCATGTTGCTTCTCTTCTGTTTTCAAGATTCTCTGTCTTTTGACTGTTTATTATGTATCTAGGGGTGGGTCTCTTTAAGTTTATCCTAATCATCAAATTTAGGAAGATTTGTCATTTCTTCAGCTATTCTTCTCCTTTCTCTCCACTACTCCTGGGACTCCCGTTGTGCATATTGGTCCACTCCCTGGTATCTCACAGGTCTCTGAGGCTCTGTTAACTTTTCTTGATTCTATTTTCTGTTGCTCAGATAGTCTCAGCTGATTTATCTTCAAGTTTGCAGATTCTTCCTTTTGCCTGCTCAAATCTATTGAACTCCTCTAGTGATATTTTCATTTCTGTTACACTCTCAGCTCCAGAATTTCTGTTTTGTTCTTTAAAAAAATAATTTCTGTGTCTGTAATTGGTACTCTCTATTTGGTGAGATATCATTCTCCTACTTTA